GTATGTATGCATGTGTGTATGTATATATGTGGGTATCTGTATTTGTGATTGTATATGTGTGTATGCATGCTTCTTTGTGTAATGTATGCGGGTGTATGTGTGCATGCTTGTATGTATGTATCTATGTGTGCATGTATGCATTTTGGTGGATGTATGTATGTAAGTATGTGTTTGTATGTGTGTGCATTTAGGTATGTATGCAAGTATGCATGTTTTCGTGTAAACATGTGAGTGTATGTATAGATGTGTGTATGTATGTATGCATGTATTTGTGTGTATGTATGTATGTATGTATGCATGCATGTATGTATGTATGTATGTATGTATGTATGTATGTATGTATGTATGTATGTATGTATGTATGTATGTATGTATGTATGTATGTATGTATGTATGTATGTATGTATGTATGTATGTATGTATGTATGTATGTATGTATGTATGTATGTATGTATGTATGTATGTATGTATGTATGTATGTATGTATGTATGTATGTATGTATGTATGTATGTATGTATGTATGTATGTATGTATGTATGTATGTATGTATGTATGTGTGTATATGGGTGTATTTATGCATGTGAGTGTATATGTGTGGTTGTGGGTGTCTGTATATGTGATTGTATGTGTATGTATGCATGCAGGTGTCTATGTATGGAATGTGTGTTTGCATGTATGTCTGTGTATGTATGTATGTGTGTGTGTGTGTGTTTTATGTTGTGCATGTATGTCTATGTATATATGTGTGTCTTTTATGTTTGTGTATGTATGTAGATGCGTGTATGTATGTATTACGTATGTCTGTATATGAGTGTGCATGTATGAGAATGTAAGAGTATGTATAGAGTAAGATTGTGTAAACATGATGTGTGTATGCATTATTCCATAATGTATATTTCTTTATTACATCCATAACATGCATTATTGATAACAGGCATTGGTACTCTGAAAAATGAGTGCTTAGAAGGGTCGAATGTTAGACGGGCCTGCGTGCCCAATTTGTAACCCTTTGAAAATAAAGTTCGTTCGTTCGTTCGTTCTTCTTCCTCCTCCTCTTCTTTTGCTTCCTTCTCCTCCTCCTCCTCTTCTTCCTCCTCCTCCTCCGCGTTCAGCTTTGACGGCAAGTTCTGGTTTTTCGTCCACTTCTGAAGTTTAGTCTAGTTCAAGAACTTTAGTTTTTCGTGCACATCCGTTTTAGTTTACAGGTCTGGCTAATGTGTTTGTAGACTGCTGGTTCCTCGCCTCTCATGCAGATATGGGGCTTCAGCATCCAACGCCCCTCAAGCTGTCCACACTTGATAAACGGCAACGCTATTACGATAGGCTGCCGGATAGATTGCAGTGTTTCGTGGAATCTGAACGGTGCTGATTCCGCCCGGGTGCCAAGCTTTCAGCACACACCGTAATATGACAAGCCTACCACTTCAATTATCCCAGATTAAACCCGCATAACGGCTGATGCTGTTCAGTGTCTTGCAGCACTTTTTGTGAACAATTTGTTGTTGTTGTTGTTGTTGTTTTCGTTATTCAGGTTCAGGGCCACGGAATTATTGTTTGAGGACTAATAGAGAGAGTGCAGGAGAGGGCGGCGTTAAACTGAGGGGGGGGGGGGGGGGTGACAGTGTGATAATTGTGTTATATATATATATAACACAATTTTAAAACTGAAAGTAGTAATAGAGCTGTTTCCATGAATACACTCAACAGACATGTCGCAATGAAAGTAATATCTACGAGGGACGGTCAGAAAGTAATGCTTCCTATTGTTTATCTGTGTAAATAAGGTATGTGTGCAATATGTAGATTTCGCAGGATCCCCCCAAAAACGTGTTTGCATTCTGAATCATTACCAATCTGTTTCAATAACGTCTTTCCTCTTGAGCCTAAGGCGGCGCATAAGGCCGAGATCATAGCCCTCCATGTCTTGCGGCTCATTGTCGCCTGATTTAGGAGTAACGTGTAGCACCACTGTAACAGTTCAAAAATGGCTCCCAAAGGCGTTTGGTTTAATTAAAGTAATGTAATAGAAACCTCCAGCGCTGAAGGCGAGACCGTAGTTCGCATCCACGAACGTTTGAAAAATGTTTATATGGGGATTCAACAGTGGATGTTAGCACTGTCCCACGCTGGTTACACCCTTCGCTTGTGACTGAAGCAGGTCTGTGAAGTGGTTAACATTCCGGTTACTTGATACCTGTGTTTGTTATCTCATGAGTGGAAGTTGAACCCCATTAGGACCACGCACTGAGCGATTAACACCCGGTGGCGCAAAGTGTCACTATTCGGATGAGACTTTCTCAGCTAAAAAGTCCCACAAACCCCGTTCAACCGTAAGGTTATACTGCACCCCGTGACAGTTAACAAGATACACTGAAGTCCAGATCGGGTAGGGCGTTGTATTATTCCGTGTTTTGTGGGTACCCAAATGTTTATATCCAGTGCTGTTTTACATCTTCTTTTGCCTTGTTTGTCGGCTCCCTGGCTAAGTCGATGCGACCGCTTCGTAATGCTGGGATGCCGGGTTCGATCCCAGCTTCGGGCCATGCGCCTTGCGTTGGTTTCGACAGTGGTATCAAAGAAGCCGACCGTTCGGTAGCAATGGCAAACTACTGGACGTAGATTTGCCTAGAAAAACCTCACAAAACAGTCAGGGGCTGTTGGGGTTGGTTATGCAACGTCCTGTAAAGGATACGCAACTAACCTTTTCCCTTGTTTACCCCAGTAAAGACCCTCAGCGTACTCACGCACGATTTTTTCATTGTGTGCAGTTCGTCTCATCTATGACCTACTTTACGAAAGGAGTTGAAACGGTGGTCTGCGCTACTTTTGACTTTCTATCTGCCGATAAGCTCATGTAGAAAAGTATTTTGCTCATGTGAAGTGATCTTCTGATGTAGGGAAGTGATTTGTTTGAGTGGAGAAGCGATTTGCTCATGCGTGGAAATAATTTACTCATGTAGAGAAGCGATTTGCAAATGGATGGAAGTGATTTGCTGGTTTAAAGAACTGATTTGCTCTTGTGCTGTCTGGAGAAACTTTGATGATGTAGAGACGCGATTAGCTCATGTAGGGAAAGTTATTTACTCATTGAAGGAAATCGTTTGTTGATGTAAAGAAGCGATTGGTTTACTCATGTAGGCTGATGTAAAGAAGTGATTGATTTGCTCATTTAGGCAAGAGATTTGCTGGTGTAGAGAAGTAATTTACTCATTTAAGGATGTGAGTTGATGATGTAAAGAAGTGATTTACTCATTTAAGAATGTGAGTTGATGATGTAAAGAAGTGATTTACTCATTTAAGGATGTGAGTTGATGATGTAAAGAAGTGATTTACTCATTTAAGGATGTGAGTTGCTGACATAAAGAAGTGATTTACTCATTTAAGGATGTGAGTTGCTGACATAAAGAAGTGATTTACTAATTTAAGGAAGTGAGTTACCGATGTAAAGAAGTGATTTACTAATTTAAGAAAGTGAGTTGCCGATTTAAAGAAGTGATTTACTCATTTAAGGAAGTGAGTTGCCGATTTAAAGAAGTGATTTACTCATTTAAGGAAGTGAGTTGCTGATGTCAAGAAGTGATTTGCTGATTTAGAGAAGCGATCCGCTTGTGAAGTGAAGTTACTGATCAGACTATGATAGTTTCATTCTGATCCTTTTTATTATATTCAGAATGGCTTGTGACTGCTACCAGATATATGTATGGAATCGCCTTGAAACCACACATTAAATACTAATGCCCTGTGTAAGACATGGCAAAAAACTGATGAAATCCGTTTAAAAAGAAGCAGTTCGTAAAAGGAGTAGGGCCAACAGGACAGGAATGACGTTAACATACTGACTGTTTCGTGAGTAAAGAAAGGCTGGATACTTGTTTCCGCCATGAAAATGGATATAGTAGAACTGGCTCACAGATTAAGTCAAAGTCTGGACAGCCCAGAGTTTGACGTCACCAGATGGCAGATCCGGCGACGTCTGTTTCAGAGGAACAAATGTGTAAGGAATGTTTTAATAGGTTAAAAATTATGTTTGAATAAAGTAAAGTAAGTATAGATCCCTTTTTAGGCATTAGGCGCATAGGGCATATGGAAAGAGCGTCCCACATTTTTACAGACCAATCGGCACTGGGTGGGTAATGTGGTCAGCATTACGCCGGCCGTCTTTACTTCTCCAGGACAGCCTTCCGGGTACCTATTTTAGGCTGGGTCGACCTGCGACGCCCCATACCATGATGAAAATCAACGCAGCCAGGAGTGGGTTTCGATCGCGGTACGTTGGAATTACGAGGCGGACTCGCAACGCCTAAACAACAGACGCCGCTGTTTATTTAAATATGTTTAGAAAATATCATCTTAACGCCAATTGTGCATCGATAATATTGTGTTAGACAAGTGTTACCTCCCTTCTTCTTCTTTTTCTCTCTCTCTCCCCCCCCCCTTTCTTCTTCTTTTTCTTCTTCTTCTTCTTCTTCTTCTTCTTCTTCTTCTTCTTCTTCTTCTTCTTCTTCTTCTTCTTCTTCTTCTTCTTCTTCTTCTTCTTCTTCTTCTTCTTCTTCTTCTTCTTCTTCTTCTTCTTCTTCTTCTTCCTCCTCCTCCTCCTCTTCTTTTTCTTCTTCTTCTTCTTCTTCTTTTTCTTCTTCTTCTTCTTCTTCTTCTTCTTCTTCTTCTTCTTCTTCTTCTTCTTCTTCTTCTTCTTCTTCTTCTTCTTCTTCTTCTTCTTCTTCTTCTTCTTCTTCTTCTGAGCCTGCTGCTTATTTTTGTGTTTCTAATTCTAGAATGGTCATCGTGTGAGATTACTTCTTGTCTTCACTATCTTCTCCCCCTCAGTCTGTAATCCGTTTATCTGGATGTTTTTGTTTTTTTTTAAACAGTTTGTTTATAACGGGGGGGGGGGGGGGGGCGGCGCCCAGTTGCCCGAGCCGCTCAGATTCCAGCGCTCCTGTGATGCATTGATTGGTTGATTGATTAGTTGGCTAATAACCTGTTTGTCCTTCTGTTCCAGCTATCCACTCCCCAGCCAATCACCGTACGGACGGAGAAGCCCGCCAGCAAACCCACGGCGACAGCCCGCACGCCCAGTGTGTTGACACACTCACACAGCATGCCAGATAGTCTGGATAAGCTGACACGGAAAAACTACTTCAGCCTGATTGGTGTGTAGAGTCTTCTGTGTTGTCTTTAATAGAGTGTTGTAGCATGTGTGTGTGCTAAAGAAACCATAGAATGTTGATGAGAGAGGCCAAAGGTGCTGGACTGAATTCTTTTTCTTCTTCTTTTTTTTTTTTTTTCGCGTTCACCAGTTGTAAACTCTAGCGGAAAGTTCTGTTTGTTCATCCACTTCTGGATTGTGGCCCTGTACCACAACTTGTGTGTTGCGTGCACATCCGTTTTACAGATCTGACTCATTTGTATGCAAACTGTTGGTTCGATGACGGTCAGGCAGATGCACGCCGACTTCGAAGGGAGCTCCCAGCTAGTCCACTCTTAGACCTGTTTTAGGTTAGGCAGTGGGTCTGTTCTTGTTTCCCCCCACAATTGGGCCCCGGAAGCCACACAGGGAGGACTTGATTCCGTCCATGTTATTAAACTGCTTGCATAAGATAGAATGCAATGGAGGAATAGACTGCTAGCCCTATGTGACTTATAATGGCACAGCAGAGCAGAATGAAGTAACGTAGCCTGTGTTGTATACTTTAAATAGCGTGTAGGGATCACTTGTGTCGTCTTGTCGGCTCTCCTCCGAATAACGGGCACATATTATGGCGGCCAAAAACAGGGCCTCAGTCACAAGACTTCCGGCGACTACATTACCACCACCGAGAGTATCTCCCGCGCCGCCACGCACGGCCGCAGAGCGGGGCTAAACTAGATTGCTGGGACTCACACGAGCAAAGCTGCAGGAGATGCGGGAGCTGCTGCTCGTGAGTCCCAGCCATCTAGTTTAGTTTAGCCCCGCTCCGCGCGTAGCTGCGCGGGAGATACTCTCGGTGGTGGTAGTGTAGTCGTCGGTCTGCAATTTAAGTCTCCGGAAGTTCACAATTTACATGTGACTGAGGCCCTGTCAGGGTGTGTTTTGGCCGCCATAATATGTGGCCGTTATTCGGAGGATAGCTGTCTTGTCTTGTCTTTTAATAGAGCCCTGTGACCTGTGTCGTGTACTACAAATAGTGTGTAGAATCGTTTGCATGTGCTAGTTTTATTATGGGGTGTAGGATCTCCTGGGTACCCTGGTTGGTGTCTAGAACCTTCTGTGGTGTCTAGTTCAGGAAGAAACAGTACTCTAAAGGCAGTTCTTCAGACAGGTGGTTTACTGATTACTGATTTAGAATCGAGATCATAGCACACCGGGCATACTAATAGATGCTCCGCCTCCGCAGCAAATGTCTTAAGGTGTAGTGCTGTTCCTGTAGCACACTGTTTATGCACACGTCATTCTCTTCCTCTCCTTGCCGGGTCCACACTTAATTATTCGTTCACACATTCTTGCATATGTTACTTCATCTAATCTCGTGTCTTCTGTCAGCATTCATTCATGTATGGTCTTCAGAATATCTCTCTTGTCCAGCACAAGTATTCCCATAGCTTTCGCTAATGTGGCCAAATGATCTGCTCTTTCATTTCCTCACACTCCTGCATATCCCAGACAGTATTTCCATGATTCCCTGCAGTGTCGGTGTACTGATGCTTGGTATCCACTCATTCCACATTAGTCCATTTTTAACCTTCTGCAATGCCGACTGAGAATCAGACACAACAATTCATCTGATAACTTTGTTTTCTGCTATCCAATTCAGAGCTGCAGTGATTGCCTCCAATTCCATTCTCATGCTTGATGTTTTAGATAAAATAAAGTTCCATTTTGTTCTGCCACAATTTTTCCCTTCATTCTAGCTGAAAATGCCCAGCCGGATCTTACACCCCAATGAACAAAACCATCGGTGGACACTACTGCCCAGCCTTTCCATCTATCAATCGTTGTACCTCTAATTCTGCCATTCTCACGCAAAGCACTTTGCAAGTCTCAGGTCATGTCGTGCCTGTCTGACCTGCTTCGATACATTAGGACATAATTTGCAAATGTCAAAGTTCGCCCTGGTCCAGCTGGCTGAATTTTTGCCAGACTTGCTGTATATGTGTTAAACAAGACAGGTGACAGTGATGATCCCTGAGGAAGGCCAGGGCAAATGCATATTGGATCTGATCTCTATGTTCCCAAACAAAATACCAGTTCTTTCCCGCAATGCTACCCTCATCCAGTTAGCTAACCAGGGGTTCACACCACAGTCTATTACACACTGCATAAGACATGCGAAGTCAGCGCTGTTGTAGGCATCTTTAAGATCTATCGCTACAGCCACTGTTTTTTGCTTTTGCTGAATCCTTCATACACATCACATGCGAATGTTCCAGCATTGTCCCATGTTGTCTTTGTTGGCCTATGGTTGCCCATGGTGTCCAGTAGCATGTCCACTCTTTCTAAGTTTGACAACACTTTCTTTGGCACAGTTTTTTTCCCAGTTTGCCATACACATTTTGCAAGGTTATGATCTTATAACTGCTGAGCTGTGAGGGATCGCTGGAATCCAGAATCCTTTTTCAAGCTTTGAGGCACATCAAGCACATGTTGCTATCCCACTTCAACCCAACATGGGTGCCAGAAAATGCAATGGGAAGTAAAAGTGGCGTTGACCACATAGCCCACCGAGGACTGACTGCCCTACATACAATTTGGAGTAGCAACATGTGCCTCAAAGCTTGAAAAAGGATTTTGGTTTGTCTTCTTTGTTCCACCTCTCTCTTGTTGGTTAAGACTTTGGCCTACATTTAACTTTTGCTAAAGCTCAGGAAAATGGCAGCTGTAAACTCAAGAGTGGCACTTTTAGTTTCAAGTTTAAAAAAAAAAATTCTTATATAGCCTCTGAGCTTAACCTACAAATAGGTAAATATTTAAAAAGAAACAGAAGAAAGAGTTCTATGTATATTGATGTATATTGCAATTGTGCTTCTCTTTCACAGTTAGTTATTTAGTTGCGTTTCCTTTACAGGAGATTGCAGAACCAACCCCAGTATTTTTTTGCTGTTGTAGTTTTCCCTAGGCAAATTTACATTCAGTAGTTTGCCATTGCTTTTTGGACGGTCAGCTTCTTGACACCAGTGTCGAAACCAGCGCAAGGCACACAGCTGGGTTCAAACCTGACACCCCTGCATTACAAAAGTTTACAATTCCTAAGCTACAGACGCCTGTTTCATAGTAGTACATATAATTATGAATGCACTTGTCTGAAGTCATTTTGCTGCTTTTCCCTGTGAGTTTTCCCAGGCCCGATTTTGGAGGGAAAAAGAATGGACTCACCCCACTCCACCCTTGCTACTTAGATGTGTTTCCTTCAAAGTCCTAGTGCATCTGCCTGAGAGAAGAACCAACAGTCTGCAAATAAATATACGCCAGATCTGTAAAACAGATATGTACACATAACAGATTAGGAAAAAGACAAAAGCCCTGTAGTGGATGAACAACTAAAACTTCCTGCTGGAGTTTACAGCTGGGGAAAGATAAAGTAAGGAAAATATGCTGCTGCCATTGCTAAAAAAACCCACATCTAATGTCCATCACTATCCTTGCAGTCTTTGCATTAAATTGATAAAGCAGCCACCAGGAGTGCCAGCACAATAAATCTGACACCAGAAATGCAGTTTCATCCTTAATGCAACAGCAATTAAAACAGATCAGTAGTTGCATGCGTAATTTATTGTATAATGCACCACAAGTTCTGTGGCTATGTGCCATTTTCTGAATCTGCAGTTTGCAGCATAAATCACATTGGGAACAGTTGAATTGCATTCCAAATGAAATCCGCAACTCACAGTGTTGCACCATGCACTTAATTATAGAATAGATTATTTTTCATTGTGTAGTTGCACCCAAACTTTGCAGCTTATTAGCACTCACCATTAGTGATGTATAGCTGCACCCAACCTTTGCAGCCTATTAGCACTCACGGTTAGTGATGTATAGTTTCCCCCAAACTTTGCAGCCCATTAGCACACATGGTTAGTGACTTATAGTTGCACCCAACCTTTGTAGCCTATTAGCACTTACAGTTAGTGATGTATAGTTGCACCCAAACTTTGCAGCCTATTAGCACTCACGATTAGTGATGTATAGTTGCACCCAACCTTTGCATCCTATTAGCACACATGGTTAGTGACTTATAATTTCACTCAACCTTTGCAGCTTATTAGCTTTCACAGTTAGTGATGTATAGTTGCATCCAAACTTTGCAGCCTATTAGCACTCACAGTTAGTGAAGTATAGTTGCACCCAAACTTTGCAGCCTATTAGCACTCACAGTTAGTGATGTATAGTTGCACCCAAACTTTGCAGCCTATTAGCACTCACGGTTAGTGATGTATAGTTTCCCCCAAACTGTGCAGCCTATTAGCACTCACGGTTAGTGATGTATAGTTTTCCCCAAACTGTGCAGCCTATTAGCACTCACGGTTAGTGACTTATAGTTGCACCCAAACTTTGCAGCCTATTAGCACTCACAGTTAGTGATGTTTAGTTGCACCCAAACTTTGCAGCCTATTAGCACTGACAGTTAGTGATGTATAGTTGCATCCAAACTTTGCAAACTATTTTCACAGTTTGATATGGTTGCACCCAAACTTTGCAGCCTATTAGCACTCACGGTTAGTATATGGTTGCACCCAAACTTTGCAGCCTATTAGCACTCACGGTTAGTGATGAATTAAACAGATTATGAATTGTGTTGTTACTCCTCTATCTCTTTGTGTTCACCACGGTGAAATAATTATGTTATTGTTATTACTGCCCTCATAGGTTCAGATGTTCAGAGCATCACCAGCCAGCAGAGTGTGGATGAGGACTCCTCTGATGAGTCTGAGTACTCCATGGGCTACCACACAGAAGCTTCACACAGCACCAGGTCATCCCACATCATGCTGGCCGCCCTCGACCAGGTAGGATTTAACTGCTCTCAGCAACATATGATGAGTGCTGCATTGAGGCATAAATTACATAAGCTGCAGCTTACGAGGACCTCAACAGTCTGCAGGGGCCTCAAAACCATGTTAGGCTGCAAATCTTCTGATGATGTAATCAATGATTTTGCATTTAAGAATCCAAGAAAAAAAAAGAGTTTTTTTTTTTTACAGCTGCAGCTTAGAGGCCTTTTTTCAAACACATTCATTGTTATTAATTGTACTATGTCAGTGATCCTCAAACTGTGCGCTGGGGAGCCCCGACCTCTTCACAGGGGCACCATAGAATATATGAAGATACACAAGTTTTTGTTTTTGTTTTTTTCTCTCCATCTTTTTACATACCAGTAGTTTTTTTTCTTCATGTTTTTACATTACATTCCTATAGTCATACTTTTACTTAAGTTAGGGCGACATGGAAAAATATTAATTGAAAAAAAGTGCAGCCACTAAGAAAAGTTTGGGAAACACTGTACTATGTTGTTATTGTTGAATTAAGAATCAACATCATAGCACTTGGGATACTGTAATAAGTGCTCTGCCCCCATCTTCAGCAGAATGCAAAGAGTTACAGTTCCTATGGCACCAGTAACTGTCTGATTGTTTATCCATCTCTCCCTTCCCCTAAGTGTTGAGTGTCTGCCAGATCCTCTAGTAACTCCTCGCAGCGCAATTCTCCTCAAACCGTAAGGATCAATCTGTGCCTTCTTACTGTTCACTCGCTTCCCAAGGGCCCTCACTGTATCTAGCGTGTCCTACATCAGTTCACCACTAAGTGGTGCAGAGCCGGCCAGTCTATCTGCCTGCTAATTTTCCAACATACCGTCATGACATGGAGAAAAAAATCCAAAGGACGATATTTTGTAGTTAATATTTTTAGTGTACTAAAAATTAGGCAACAGTATATTTCCATTACTCATATACATATTTACACACACATATACACACGCGCACGTACACAGAGAGAGAGCGAGAGAGAGAGAGAGAGATGTTGACAGCAACAGTCCTGAAATCTCATGTTATAATTATGTAATGCTTTTCTTACCACCAGTGGGTTTTTGAGGTTTTGAACAATGGACCATCATCCTGGCGCACGGGTAGTAACCCATAAGTACTCCATTCTTCTTCTAACTCAAGTCTTGAGTCCAAAAAAGCTCAGCACAGTGCACAGGCTGTGTAGCACCGGCGAGGATCCTGAAATACTTTGGGTAGATTTGTAACTCTAAATTTGGCCCGGGCAGCGCCATTAGGCTACTATTTTTGATTTCCAACTGCAAAGGGATTTTTTTTTACATGCGCAACAATGCACACGGTCGTCCGATCTCACTACCCAGAGACCAGCGGGAATAACTAGAAGTCCAAGTCAACGTGAAAAGATCCCAGCCCTTACCGGGGATTGAATCCAGAACCTCTATCACTCGAGACCACGCAGAACCCCTAGACCGGTGGGTCTTGCTAGTCACCCTCACCATAGCCATGGTTTATGAGAATCCCCCCATCCCCCCCCCCCCCCCCCCCCCCCCCACTCCCCCCGCATATCTCAATATAAAACTCTCATCTGGAAAGACACAAAGGTGGCAATATAAAATCTAACATAAAACACATATTTGAAAGACTTATATATTTTAAAGTTTTTTGAGATTGGCTAGTGAAATTTACAATGGTAGGGGCCTAAGGACTTTACACAGCTTATGGCCTCCCCAGATCTTAATCGGGCCCTGCATTTGATGAAACAGTTGACAGAAACAGAAAGTAAGATATGTTAGCTTTGCAAGACGAAAATCACAGGAGACTCCCAATGCTGGTTTCTCGCCTACAGTTTTGAGGGAAAAAAGAACTGACCCTCTGGTCCCTTGTCGTAAAAGGTGACAAGGTACCTATCATAAACTTACCTGCATGATAATTGCCGTGTTGTGCTATCTGCCTGACTGTTTGTGGATATCGAAACTAGGATGTTTTTGTACTTCAATCTTCCTTGTCAGTGGCTTCTTTTAATGGGGGTAGGGGGAAGCCACGGAAGGTAGAAATAGAAAAAACATCCTAGTTTCAATACTCACAAACAGTCATTCGCCGCTTCCCCATGCAGTACTTCTTAATTGTTCAGAGGCGCCTCAAAGAGACTGAACAACAACACAATCTTCCCACTAACACTAAATACAGCAAGCGAGCGCCGAACGAAGCCATCTCATAACACCCCTACACTATAAGATAGGCAGTGCAACTGGCCGCAGCATGAATAGGAGGGAAAGAAACTCTCACCGTCTGATCAACTTGTGAGAAGTTCCAGTGACTAATTAGGATTTTGCTGAAACTAGTTGTGTTGGGCAGATAGAGACATATATCACAGCCTAGTTTCACAGCACATCACAGCATGCTAACCGCCTGTTAAAGGGTGAATAAAGAAGAAGAAGAAGATACAGTGTCGCTTAGATTTTTGAAGTGTGAATCCACAAAACCTTGAAATCCTTGGGCACAGAAACTACAATGGGAGTATGCTAGTTTTACTTCTGTGTTCTAAAACTTCACTGTGAAAAATGTTTCACAGTTATTTTCCCTGTTGGTTTTGAAGATCCAAAGATTAGCCCAAGGTATTGTTCTTATAACCCACTGCTGGCTGCGTGGATTTTTTATCATGGTACGGGGCGTCGCAGGTCGACCCAGCCTAAAATGGGTACCAGGATAGGCTGTCCTGGGAGAGTAAAGACAGTCGGCGTAATGCTGACCATATTACCCATCGAGTGCTGATGGTCTGGAAAGGGATCTTTACTTTTGTTTTTTTGGAGAGTTATGGTACTGTAGTGACTAGTTGCTTGTCTGCCGGCCCAGTAGTCTAGGCTTTGAATCCGCATGTCAGTCTGGCTGTGCCATTGTCTGCCAGCCCAGTAGTCTGTCTAGGCTTTGAATCCGCATGTCAGTCTGGCTGTGCCATTGTCTGCCAGCCCAGTAGTCTGTCTAGGCTTTGAATCCGCATGTCAGTCTGGCTGTGCCATTGTCTGCCAGCCCAGTAGTCTGTCTAGGCTTTGAATCCGCATGTCAGTCTGGCTGTGCCATTGTCTGCCAGCCCAGTAGTCTGTCTAGGCTTTGAATCCGCATGTCAGTCTGGCTGTGTCATTGTCTGCCTTTCATGTATCTTTCTTTGTTTTTTCCTGTTTAAAAAAAACACACACACACACTCGCTTGCTCGCTTGCTCACTCATTCACTCACTTACTCATTCACTCTCTCTCTCTTTCTCTCACACTTACTCACTCACTCTCACTCTCTCTCTCCCTCCCTTTTTTCTCTCCCCATAACCCACTTTCCCTTATCTCTCTCACTCCCTTCTGACATCTTACTTTCTTTGTTTGTATCTCACACACGCACATATAAAAATAGATGCTAAAATACTCTTAATCTCTAACATCTTTTTCTTAAGTGTCTTGTATTACACATGAGCTGACATTCTTCCCAGACTGACAGTGACCTTTTATGTAATCAAACAGTAATATGCGTTCATGACAAGAATTGTTTATCTGGACTTTTGTTAGATGATCGGCAGTGAAAACCTGACATATGCAGAGGCACTCTGGGACCATGTGACAATGGACCCTGATGAGCTGGGCTTCAGGGCTGGCGATCTGATTCGGGTCACAGATACCACAGACAAGCACTGGTGGTTTGGCAGCATTGATGGTCATGAAGGCTGGTTTCCTGCACACTTTTGTCAGGGTGAGTTGGTTTCTCTAACTAAATAACAGCATTACTTTCAGTCAGGTGGGCTTTTGAGGAAGGGTCAGACCACCTGTGGTAATACCTCGAGTGCAGTAATCTAATTTTTTTTTTTAAAGCGTTTCGACATCTCTTTTGTCTTCTATTTGCCCCTGTGGAGGAAAGGTCCTTAGCTGACTCATGTCGCCCCCATTTTTAATAGACATTTGAATAATTCATTGTCATTTGCAGCTGATTGTGTGTGAAACATAGACCGTTTACCAGCGACATGCTGATGAGAAGCTGAACCACTTGCACACAGTATCCCTCAGAAAGTTCCTGAACACAAAATGGCAAGACAGGTTCCCTGACACTGAAGTCCTTGACAGAGCTGAACTGTCCAGTATTTACTCGATTCTAAAAACAATTACAGCTTCGCTGGGCAGGTCATATAGTCCGCAAGCCTGACCACTGACTGCCAAAAATAATTTTCTATGGTGAGCTACTAAAAGGAAAACGCTCTCAAGGTGGACAGAAGAAACGTTTGAAGGACGGCCTCAAGACCTCACTAAAGGACTTCTGTACCGATCCTAAAACCTGGGAAGTTGCTGCATGTGACCGCTAACCTGGTGCTCCTCTCTTTATCAGGGAACTGTGGTCCATGAAGCTGTAAAAACTGCAGCAGCAGTTTAGAAAGGACAAGCCAGGAAAGGCACTGAAGCAAACCACCAGAGAGATGCGGCTTCAATTCCCTGTCCACACTGCTCAAGAACTTACAGTGCTAGAACTGGCCTTATCAGTCTGTGCACACTCACAAAACCTCACCCAGCCACCAATGGATAAAACATCCGGTCATCATCACTTGTGATGGACAAACAACAACAACATGTGTCATCTGTATTATGCTCCCAAATGATTAACAGATGTTTTCTTGTCTCTGCAAAAACTTAACCAATTTCAGAGTAGAGGCATCAGCTATACAAGTTAGTCATTTTTTGGCTGTTTGTGATTTCTCTAGGCAAGTTTTAGGTTCAGTAGTTTGCCACTGCTTCTGAACAGTCAGCTCTCAAAACCACTGTTGAAACCAGTGTAAGGTCAGATCACGTACAGTTGGGATCAAACCATTACAAAGCATGTTCCCCACACCTAAGCCACTGATTGTGACACGCTATGAAGACCTTAGTTGCAGAGTTGCATAAGGGCCGCCACCAAGCACAAAGTCAGGGCCCTTTGGGGGTCAAATAAACAGTTCACAGGCACAAATAGATCATTACGGCTTAAAGAGAATGGAGGGGCAAGATGGGCATACAATCAGACTGTTACTCATACCAACACAAATTAAACTGTCCTTGCTGCTGAAGATGGAAATGAAGTGCTTATGGGAATGTCCAAAGGGCTATGATGACGGTTCTTAAATCATAACTCATGAAATGGGAGAGACAACTGCAACATTATGTTATGACCTGGCTATTGGTAAGCAGATTTTGATAATTGACTTGGACTTCCAGGTCAACCTAGCTCAAAGTGGTTAACAGGAAATGCCCTGGCAAGTAAAGGAGACCGGTGTTATGTCTACCCCATCAATCATCACCTGCATATTGGTCTATAAAAATAGAGGCCTGGCACCACTTCTCGCTCAAAAAAGCACAAAACCGTGCACTTCTTGTTTGTGCTACGACTCCACAAATGCCCTTTCCATGGCTTACTATAGAGGGTTGTTTAGGAGCCCACTAACAGCATTGACTCCATTTTTTTTTCCTAGCCAACTTTTTAGAAAGACCAGTAATGAGCATAGTTGCATTTAGGCTGGGTTTTTAATGTAAAGTGTTTTTCTTCAGAATTTCCAGTTAGTTACAGTGGTAACTGGTGGCCAGTTCATAGGGTCAAGAACTGATCATGTTAAACACTATATAAAGCTCAGAGAGATCTAACCAGTCATTCTCTGCCTTGTTGGTATTTATTGTTTACTCCCATTATTTTGCATATAATTATATATTGTTTTGATCTATGAATAGAATTGTTATATTTTTTATGTGACTTATGTAGAATGTGTATTTTTTTTGTTTAAAAGAATATTTTTTGGGGAAAATCTTGAAATCCCCCCCCCCCCCCCCCCCAAAATAGGGGTCTTTTGCATTGTTTCATTTTTTTTCTAGGTCACCAGGATGAAAGGGTTAAAAAGGTTCCTTTCTCTATATTAGCTTTCATTATTATTTGCATTATGTGGTGAGGAAGTCAATCATAATTTGTTTAGTTTGTACGTGTGTGTCTGGCAGCTGCGAGTCAACCAGGATGTGATGGAAGAAGAGCTGGCATACATCCTGGCTGAAGAAGATGAGGCAGCAACTGCAGCAGAGCATACAGGAGCTCCAGCAAAGTCTTCTAACTTCATGGGCAAGACCCAAGCCAGGTCTAATGTCGTCAATGAGATTATCAGTGCCGAGAGGGAGTATGTCAAACATCTCAGAGATGTGGTTGAGGTAAAGATCTGGGTGACTTTTTCTGTGTTTTGTAATGAGAGAGAGGAGTGTGTCATACATCTCAGAGATGTGGTTGAGGAAAAGAGCTGGGTGACTTTTTCTGTGTTTTGTAATGAGAGGGAGGAGTATGTCAAACATCTCAGAGATGTGGTTGAGGTAAGGGTCTGGGTGACTTTTCCTGTGTTTTGTAATGAGAGGGGAGGAGTGTGTCAAACATCTCAGAGATGTGGTTGAGGTAAAGAGCTGGGTGACTTTTTCTGTGTTTTGTAATGAGAGGGGAGGAGTATGTCAAACATCTCAGAGATGTGGTTAAGGTAAGGGTCTGGGTGACTTTTTCTGTGTTTTGTAATGAGAGGGAGGAGTATGTCAAACATCTCAGAGATGTGGTTGAGGTAAAGATCTGGGTGACTTTTTCTGTGTTTTGTAATGAGAGAGAGGAGTGTGTCAAACATCTCAGAGATGTGGTTGAGGTAAAGAGCTGGGTGACTTTTTCTGTGTTTTGTAATGAGAGGGGAGGAGTATGTCAAACATCTCAGAGATGTGGTTGAGGTAAAGATCTGGGTGACTTTTTCTGTGTTTTGTAATGAGAGGGGAGGAGTATGTCAAACATCTCAGAGATGTGGTTAAGGTAAGGGTCTGGGTGACTTTTTCTGTGTTTTGTAATGAGAGGGGAGGAGTGTGTCAAACATCTCAGAGATGTGGTTGAGGTAAAGAGCTGGGTGACTTTTTCTGTGTTTTGTAATGAGAGGGGAGGAGTATGTCAAACATCTCAGAGATGTGGTTAAGGTAAGGGTCTGGGTGACTTTTTCTGTGTTTTGTAATGAGAGGGAGGAGTATGTCAAACACGCAGAGATGTGGTTGAGGTAAAGATCTGGGTGACTTTTTCTGTGTTTTGTAATGAGAGAGAGGAGTGTGTCAAACATCTCAGAGATGTGGTTGAGGTAAAGAGCTGGGTGACTTTTTCTGTGTTTTGTAATGAGAGGGGAGGAGTATGTCAAACATCTCAGAGATGTGGTTGAGGTAAAGATCTGGGTGACTTTTTCTGTGTTTTGTAATGAGAGGGGAGGAGTATGTCAAACATCTCAGAGATGTGGTTAAGGTAAGGGTCTGGGTGACTTTTTCTGTGTTTTGTAATGAGAGGGAGGAGTATGTCAAACATCTCAGAGATGTGGTTGAGGTAAAGATCTGGGTGACTTTTCCTGTGTTTTGTAATGAGAGGGGAGGAGTATGTCAAACATCTCAGAGATGTGGTTGAGGTAAAGATATGGGTGACTTTTTCTGTGTTTTGTACTGAGAGGTTGAGGTAAAGATCTGGGTGACTTTTTCTGTGTTTTGTACTGAGAGGTTGAGGTAAAGATCTGGGTGACTTTTTCTGTGTTTTGTACTGAGAGGGAGGAGTATGTCAAACATCTCAGAGATGTGGTAGAGGTAAGGGTCTGGGTGACTTTTCCTGGGTTTTGTAATGAGAGGAGAGGAGTATGTCAAACATCTCAGAGATGTGGTTGAGGTAAAGAGCTGGGTGACTTTTTCTGTGTTTTGTACTGAGAGGTTGAGGTAAAGATCTGGGTGACTTTTTCTGTGTTTTGTACTGAGAGGTTGAGGTAAAGATCTGGGTGACTTTTTCTGTGTTTTGTACTGAGAGGGAGGAGTATGTCAAACATCTCAGAGATGTGGTTGAGGTAAAGGTCTGGGTGACTTTTCCTGGGTTTTGTAATGAGAGTGTAGAAGTATGTCAAGCATACAATTGATGTTACTGAGGTAATCTTTACCTCTGGTTATAGGATTTGTCATCTGTTTCCCTTTGTGTTTCTTCTTCTGGTCCAGTATGATGAATAGGCTGGATGGCCACTGATGCTTTGAAACTGTGTTTTTTTATGACTGTTTGCTGATGTGATTTCCACTTTTTGACTCGGAGTCCAGGGGTTCTATTGCCCATCTACTGAGTGGAATATTTAGTCCAACATTGAACTACAGATGTCATTTTTTTTTCTTTCTGTTTTGCCATGGCAGTTTTATTTAATAAACTACACAGTTAACTTTCAGAATGGCGTCTGCTTATGCAGTATTGTACATGGCAATCATGACTTTTGTGATTATCTGTTTGCATTTTAGTGAGATGCAAAATATGTGACAGGAAAGTTGGAAGCAAAGAAAAGCAGGGAAAGACCAAGATAAAAAAGAGGTTAAATGGTTTAGCATCATGGCTTGGAGGTATATCAGTATCAGAAATTACTGGCAGTAAAGGAGACAGTAATCTTTGCACAGAAATAATACTAGTGTCATGAAGCTTGGACTTTATTTAAAGTTAGGGTCAAGAGGACTGACTTAATTGCACCAATTGTATTCCAGTTGACTTGGTCTCTCTCCACAGAACTGTTAGACACTAGCTGAGAGCATCACACAAAGCGCGAGCACCATAACTTGGTGATGACCCCCATGAAAATTGCACTCATGAACCTAAAGACAAAACCATGAAATGAACTCACAAACCTTCAGAGCGCGAGGCAAGCGGCTTGACCACTTCACCGTGGAGACCCCTTTGAGTTTAAGAAGTATAAGAGGATATGTGAAATATTTGAATGATGTCATCAAGGTAAACTATTAGGCTGGAGCAAATTGAGAGAATGTCAGATGACAGAAAGGTAAAAACTATATACACAAGTGAGATAAATGGTCATAAACTACAAGGCAGACCAAGAAGACAATGGAGATAATGTCCAGAGACCACAAGGTAGACCATGAAAACAAAAAAAGAGAATGTCCTGAGAGACTTGCAAACACTTGGTACTACCAACTGGAAAGAGAAGGCCAACCAGAGAGATGAGTGGAGGCAGGTGATATCTGCAGCAGTGAACCTCAAGGACTCGAAATGCTGAAGAAGAAGAAGAAGTCATCAAGGTAAAAGACTGAGAGTGTCTTTATTAAGAGTTGGTCTATTTTTATTATCTTCTTTATCTTCTGTGGTTTGCTTCAAATAAATTATCATTATCTATTTTAGTTCAGTCTGTAGTTTCTCAAGTCTGGCTCTCATTGTTTTTTGTCCTGGCCAGATGGTTTGATTTAATGTCTTGTATTTAGGGCTGTGTTGGAGTATATAAGCTTCTGCCTGAAGTGCCACTTTATATTTACATAAGAATGACTTCCCATCCCTTTGTGGGCCCCACTGTAGGTCAAGAGAATAGACCCAGTTCTCCTTAACAAGTATGTCATAAAAGGCAGCTGACTAAGGGTTTGCTGAAATTGGATATGCTGAACTAAAAGGCAAAGATATCACAGTCTAGTTGTAAACCACAACACAATGTGCTCCCTTTTAAGGTGAAAATGCAGAAAAAGATTTGCCATATTTTGTATATTTGAGGCCGTAGAGACAAGTGTGTGCCATTCTAAGGCCCAGAATATGATTTCTTCTGTTTTATCCAACTTGCCTGCAGTACCCAGTGATCATCATTGTCAGGGCATATACATATACAAATATCTATTGCAGGCAAACCAATCTTCCTCTTCTGCAGTCATCCAGTGATGTAAATGCATTGTGCCCGCTTAACCCATGGCAATATTTGTGCGTTTTGGTCTACACATCTGACATCCGCAGGCATTTGTTACCTGGGTTAGCCTTCCTGGTCAGTTTTGTGGGACATTGTAGTCTCATTGTATTGTGACAGGAACTCTAATTATACCTTCTTTGGAGGTTGAACCAGGTATCTGAGATCTGCCCTGTTGGTTTGCCATCTAGAGATTTTTTTTTATATCTCATGGTGGTGAATCTTCAGGTAGCAGCCTGGAGAGGGTCACATGTCACATAAGCCATGCACTAACTCATGTGGGAAGAATCTAACATAGGGACTTGGCTAGTCGGTAATGACGAATCTCTGACACTAAAACGATTGCGTGACATGGGAGTAAAACAAGTTGAAGCACATTAATGCCGCTCTCGAGGCCGAGATAGTAGACTTCTCATGGGAACAGTTAGTAGAGGTACCTTGCAGCGGTTGCTGCGCTGGAGAACTGAGCACGCATAGGAATGCCCAGTGTGCAGTGACATCAATTGTGATAACATAACATATCATGTCTCATGCTTAATACGACTCAGAGTATGAACAATGATGCCTTGTTGTGTTTCCAGGGTTATGTGAAACAAGCTCGCAAGCGGCCTGAGATGTTTCCCAGAGAAAAAGTCAGCACCATCTTTAGCAACATAGAAGATATTTTTAGGTTTGCTACAGAGCTGCTGGATCAGCTGGAGCGGTCGGTCAACCATAACCAGCCACACTTAAGCGAACTGGGCCAGTGTTTCCTAGATAAGGTTTGTTTCCAGATTTTTTATTTTTTTTTTAATTTTTTTTTTAGACCTGAGAGCGGTCCTCTGTATGTTTTGTGATGACTGCATTAGCGATGTGGCCATAAATCCTCATGCTCAATCCCCCCATGGACCTCGCCTGGTGGATAAGGCAGTAAAGGCAGTTTTTTTCCTCTATTTCTTTGTTATTTAACTTGGGTACCAAGTAATTTTCTTTATATTTTTTGTCTGTGTTTGTAGTGGCTTAGGGATTATGAATGCACAGTGATGAATACATGTTTTTAAATCGGATGTATAATTCTGCCGGCTCTGCAGTTGAGGTTTGCGGCAGTGCACACACTTCTCTCTGGGGGATTACTACCTATTGGGAGAGGGGGGGGGGGGGGGGGGGGGGGGGGGGTTATTTTAATAATTCCATGTTTTCAACACTGAGTCGCAAGAGGGCCTGAGCTAAAATTTCTGCAAGCAGCAGTTACTCACTCATTATTTTCATTGAAAGGGGAGTGGTGGGACAAAAGAGTTTGGGAAATACCTGTCTGTACCATATTCACATTTGCTGTATTTAACCTTATTCTGGGTGGCTTGACTAATTTTAAAATTTGTGCTGAATAATGACGTATTTAGCCTTTTTTTTTTTTAAAAGTTGTTAGGGTTGTTTGCTCTTGTTGGAAAAATCTAGATGACCGAACCAGTACCCTAAAATCAATATTTATGAAAGTCTTTCAACACCACCCCCCCCCCCCCCCCCCCCCCCCCCCCCGCCTAAAACCCTCCCAAACCCCCTCCCTCACTCTAAACTCTCTGGCTCTACGGTGCCTTATCAGTAACCTACCCCAAACAGGGGAAAGCCACAGGTCACCGTGACAGTCAAATATTTCAGGGGGTAGAAGATAGGCTGCATGCATTCGTGGGACCCAGGCTGATTGCAGTCGTGGGAACTAGGCTGCACTCTCTCGTGGGACGTAGGTGCGTTGGGGTTAGGGCCAGTTCTAGATGTTTTGGGGTCCTTAAAAGCATCAGAAAGCTGGGAAACCCAGTCTTACAACTCTCTCAATGTTGGACTGTCCTGTGACATCATCTGGGGTAGGATATCACAAAAGTGATAAGCAATTCTGGTGAATGACTGTTAGTGTTAGCACATCTAATACTTTCCTCATGCATTTACGTTGTGTGTACGACCTTCAAGATTTTATTCCCCCCCCCCCCCAATGATTTTTCAAATATGATTAGCATTTGTGGCTTAGGCGTTGCGAACTCACATCATAAGGATGCCAGGTTCGATCCCAGTTGCAGGCCTTGCGCCTTCCGTTGATTTTGACAGTGGTGTCAAGAAGCCAATCGTCCAGAAAGCAATGGCAAACTACAACACGTAAATGTGCCTAGAAAAACCACAACAGCCCAAAAAATGCTGGGGTTGGTTCTGCAAGTTCCTGTAAAGGATACGCAACTAACTTTCAGATAGGACAGGGAAGGACATTTTATGTGATTTCCACTCGAACAAGAACGAAGAATGAAGTTGGAACCTTAACCAATGACCTATCTTGTAATAAGGCTCTGTTGTAGCTACACAGGTCTTTGCCCGGAGTAGGTAAGGCAGTCCTGCAGCACATGCAGAGTGTGTCTGGCTACTCAAAAGAAAATATGAATTCACAGTCTGACTACTCGAAAGAAAATATGAATCCATGAAGTCTGTCTGACTGCTCCAAACAAAATATGAATCCACAAAGTTTGTCTGACAGCTCTAAAGAAAATATGAATTCACTTGTATAGTAGTACTATTCAATTGTTATGATCTAACTAGCAGCTGTAGTTGTGTTTTTATGTTCATTTTCTTTGTTTCTTTCCTGTCAGGTGGAGGGGTTTGAGTTGTACTCTGATTACTGCAACAACCACACTGCTGCCTGTGAGGAGCTTAGGGAGCTGTATCGCAATAAGAGATACAGGCACTTCTTTGAGGTATCAGTATAGTATGATTTATCTAAGATAGTATCTGGTGCTTTTCTTCTTCTGTATTGCAGTAAGAGATACAGACACGTCTTTGAGGTATCAGTATAGTATGATTTATCTAGTATCTGATGTTTTTCTTCTTCTGTATCGCAATAAGAGATACAGGCACTTCTTTGAGGTATCAGTATAGTATTATTTGTCTAGTATCTGATACTTTCCTTTTTTTGCTTTTTATCTCCTTTAGACTCTTCAGCTTCTCCATTCAAACTTAAAATGGCAGCTTGCACATTGTGTTGTGGTTCACAGCTAGGTTGCGATATCTGTGCCTTTTGGCCTAAGACATCCACTTTCAGCAAACAGCTAATTCACAGGTTCCCAGCCCATACGTTGTGGCATCTAATGGGGTTGCAAAGGATTTTCTGTGAGGTCGCCGGGCAGTGCTGAACTATGAATATATATTTTTTAACAGGAAAACAAAACAAAAAATCATATTATATTTTACTAAAAAACAATCTCTTTTCAGTGTATTTTCATTTACCTTATCAGAAAGCATATTTTTAATGCATGTGGTTGCAGGTCACTTTGTCTCTGTCAGGTTTTGTCGTGGTTCGAAAAAACAGTTGGGAACTGCTGCCCTTATTGGTCACCTTTTACAATATGCTTATTAGGGGAGCGGAGGGACTATATTTTCCTCCTAAATTGGGGCCCTGGAACCCACACTATGACCCTGTAGACTCTTAGCCAGTTCACCCCAAGCCCTTCTGTAGAATTTGTCATGTAGTTGGATTTTGCAGCCTCTAGTGAATGATGCAGCCAGTCTCTAATCACTGAACCGTAGTCATCTTTTATAACAAAAAAGACATGATATTTTTGGAGTATATGATAAAATGGAGAAATATAATTAAGGCATTTGCTTGTTGTGGATAAATGTATAACAAAAGAGGCAGAGGAAAACAGAACATGTGAATGAAAACAGCTGGATAACAGCGAAATGTAGTCTGTGTATGCATATCATTTTGGGGTGGGGGGGGGGGGGGGGGGGGGGGGGGGGGCATTTTTATATTATACTGTCAGAACTATAAGAGTCATTGGCTATTCTTGTCATTCCCATGTGGGATGCAGTTTTTAGTTATTTTGAAGCCTCACCCTGGCTTTAGCAGGGGCCCTAAATATAGCCGGGCCTGAAACATGGCCTAACAGCTAAACGAGGTTTTTGGTACCTCTCCATGGGTGATCCTCATCCGCATGGTGGCACTTTGTGTCACCGGGTAATTATCGCTTTGTGTGATGTCCTGGTGGGGGTACAACTTACATAAGAGCAGTTGGGTCTACTTCAGTATAATACTCATCACTATGAACACTTAATATAATATATTTTAGAATATTTACTAATCAGTACAAATCATTGATTACATAATTTAGAATATGGATATAGACGTTGAATACAGTTCTATAATTTAATGCCCTATAATATAACAAACGTTTTTTTTAATATAGCTATGGCTTTAACACAAATCCTTTAAAATAACATAATGATATGCAGCTATTCTGTAAACACTCTAGGTCTGTAAGTTAATGGAATTTGCTAAAACATTTATTTACCATTCGCAGGCTTGCAGATTGCTTCAGGAAATGATAGAAATTCCACTAGAAGGGTTCTTACTAACTCCAGTTCAGAAGATCTGCAAGTATCATCTTCAGCTTGCAGAGTTACTAAAGTTTACTCCATCTGATCACCCTGATTTTGGTCAGGTGCAAGGTGCATTAGAGGCAATGAAGAAGATGGCCATGTTGGTCAATGAGAGGAAAAGGAAAATGGAGAGTGTGGAAAAACTTGCAGCTTGGCAACTGTTAGTTGATGATTGGGAGGTAGGTGTTATACCTTCTTTGTCTTGTTATATATTGCCCACTTAAAAAAATGTTAAGTCTCCCCAAACAAAATAGGTCCTGTTCCATTGATAAGTTTGTTGGACTGGTCTACTTTGCTGGAGGTTACAGGTGTGCCGCTCTATTGTTTGCTTTCTGGATTGTCTTGCATTTAGGTTTTTATTCTAAGAAAGAGAATGCCTGTGACATAGGTTTTATCACTCTCTAAAGGGGTTTTATGTTAAATCCAGTTTGTCAATGTTTTTGGAGTGTTAAAAGCGCTGGCATGCTGAAATATAAGAAAAACACACAATATCAACACATTGCAGAACACCTCTGTAACCTTGTGCCAAAGTCACATGGCTGAAAGTCAACCAATCAGAAGTGAGCTAGGCTGAAGGTTGACCAATCAGAAGTGAGCTAGTGTGTAACACTGTAAATGGGGAGTCTTTAGTTTTACCTATTGTCCATATTAGCATCCTAGCACATCACCTTTGTTTCAGTGTCTCTGGAACGCAGCACATTCAGTATGTCTGCCATGCCTATACTTCTGCAGGCACGGCCAGTCTGTCAGCTCATTCATTGCCTTTCGCCCCAGCTTATCCTGGTGTGTTTGTCTTCATCTTCCTGTTTTTATGGATCACTTTGTTTTAGTCCATCTCTGTTTGTACATGTTTCTCTTTTACCATCTCTGTTTTTGACTTGAAGACGTAGAGTCATACACCCATTTGGGCAGTAATGTAGATAAAGATGGGGGAACTGATAGAGATATCAAAAAAAATGTTTCATTATAGTGTCAAATCAGTACTGTTATATGGAGAAGAAACATAGAGAACAGCTAAGGCAATTACTAATAAACTACAAATATCCATTAACTGACACCTGCACAGAATAGAGGGAATTAAATAGAATCACTAATGAAGAGCTTTGCAAGAGAACTAAACATGTTCCAGTGGACCAAGAGGTGTAGAAAAGAGCTGGCATTGGATAGGACACACATTATGAAAACCTGAGAACAATATAACTAGAATGTCTTTGCACTGGAACCCACAGTGGCGTAGAAATGAAGGAAGACCAAAAAACACAGAAGGGAGCTAGAGAAGGAAATTAGACAGATGAGGAGAGTTGCAAGCGATAGCGAAGGATAGAATGACGGCATGAGTTGGTTGTGAATTTCGAATTCTTCCTTGAGTACACTGATGTTTATATAATTCTGTGACAGTGACAGTTGCTGACAATTTGAAGATAGTTGGTGACAATTTTATAACAGTTGGTGTCATTTTGATGATATCTTTTAAAACAGTTTGACAGTATATGCCACTTTAAAACAGATTATAAAATTTGATTCTAGCTTGTGAAATTTTGGGTGCTTGTGAGATTTTTATGAGTCTGTGACACTTTGACAACAGTTTGTGACAACTTTTGCAAACTTGTGGTGCATCATTAGCAGTTTTTGCACTTTGATAGATTATGAAATTTCCTGACATTTTCTGACATTGATGGCAGTTTTAAGACAGTATATGACACTGAGATTTTCTGACATTGATGGCAGTTTTAAGACAGTATATGACACTGAGATTTTCTTTGCAGCTGGTGATGGTTTAGCAGTTTGTGAAATTTGATAACAGTTTGTATCACTTTGATGACAGTTTAAGAACACATTATTTGTTTATGACACTGACCCACTGACCTTGACACTCTGCACTTTCACAGTGTATGAAATTTCATTGACAACTTGTGACTTCTTTTGTGTGTGAAGGGACCTGACATTCTGGAAGGCAGCTCCGAGCTAATCTACTCTGGGGAGCTCAACAAAATCAACCATGCAGGTTGGTCGCAGGAGCGCTACTTCTTTCTCTTTGACCATCAGCTTGTTTACTGCAAGAAGGACCTTCTGAAGAAGTCTAGTTTTTGCTTCAAGGGGCGGGTAAACATGGACAGTTGCCAGGTCATCAATGTCGCTGATGGTAGAGGTGAGTGCCTTCCCTTTGTTATATATGTAGTTCCTGTGTCCTGATTTATGTTGTTCTTTTAGCTCTTTGTCAGACCCCTTGATGTTGGTTATGTTGTTGTATAACATCATGCCTTACAGAAATACAGCCCTGCAAACTTCTTTTTCTTCAGCATTCAGAGCCCTTAACTCTTTGAGTCCCAGGGGGTTTAGCATCACAGGCCCAATGGGTAGTAAAAATAGACTAAAATCAACGCACAATGCGTTCACTGGGCTTCTAGGTATGAACATATGATGCATTCCCTGGGACTCAAAGAGTTAAGGTTCCCTGCTGTCCCCACTTCATTCATCTCTATGATTGGTCTTCTCTTTCCAGGTGGTAACTCCACATGTTTGTAGGTCTGCCTGAGTATTAACTTGTGTCGGTAATGAAAATCCTAAGTCTGCAGGTTGCCTCCTGCTGGCTTCTAAAAAAGCATAGCCTGTGATGAATGAGAGGCTAAATTTCTGGAAATAAGGTTAAGCAGTCATGAGCTGAACGTGATGATTCCGTTGGTGAGCCCAGTACCAGGGCACCTTGTATTGGCTCTGCATTGATGGAAGCCTCATTAGATGGTGGGGAATGCTCATGTTCTGCCTCTGCCTTCTCTTGAGGGCTGACCAGCATTATGTGGCTACTCTGGACCAGCCTAATGGAGATGGAGGGTGCAGCTTGTGAACTTGAAAACAAAGATGACTTTATAGCAGTGAGGCTGCTATGTCCCAGGAAGACAAACCTGGGCAACAAATGCCTTGCAGAAGTTAGATGTGTTGGTTGAAAGGCGCAAATACCGCAGCCATGTTTTAAATGGCTACAAGGCATATACATATTCGGATGAACGTAGAAGAAACAGTTAACTCTCCACTATCATCTTGGTCTGCCTTATGGTCTTCTTCTGCTCTTTATCCCCCAATGGAGCATAGACCCTCAGCCAACTCATGCTGAATCGTTCTTTTCTTTCCTATTGCATACAGCTCACCCAATGTCCTCTCCATCACTGTCTAGCTCTCGTCTCCATGTGTGTGGGTTTTTTTTTTCTTTTGCGTCTACCTTTATTTCTGTGCACCTGTGGATTCTAGCATAAATTTCTTCTAACCGTATTGTTTTCAGGTTTTCTCAACGTGTGTCCTATCCAGTGCCAGAGCCTTTTCTTCACCTCTTGATTCACTGGAACTTGTTTAGTTCTCTCTCTTCCAAAGCTTAATATTATTGATTCTGTCATTTCATTTAATTCCCTCTATTTTGCGCAGACACCAGTTAATGAACACTTGTAAGCGTAGTTTATTAATAATTGTTTTAGTTGTTCTCCATGTTTCTGCTCCGTACAGCCGTACTGATTTGACATTACAGCTAATTATTTTAAGTATTCGTTTTAATTTCTGTTGACCTCCATAAATTTCCTAGTGCCATGAAAACTCTTCTTGCTTTTTATATTCATATTTTAATGTCTCTTTTATTTCCCCTGTCTTTACTGCCTAAATAGCTGCCTCCTGGCCTTTTCTTCTGCCTTCTGTTCCCCAGTGGAGATTAGGCCATCAACCAACTCACACCAAAATGACCTTGGCTCTCAGGTCGACCCAGCCTTGAGTGGGTACCGGGTGCAGTCCTGGGAAGTAAAGTTGGCAGGCATAATGCTGACCACATCCCCATCTTGTGATGATTGGTCCATAAAATATAGGTCTTGCCCTATACGCCTAAAGGCGTGGAAAAGGGTCCTTTACTTTAATAAAATATTTTTTTTTTTTAACCAACCCACAACAGGTTGTTCTATCTTTTACTTTTGCTTGCAGCTTATCCTATGTCCTTGTGGTCTACTCCCAATGAACTATTTTCTGTATGTTGTGTTTGTCTTTCTGTTATCTGCCAAACTGCTGAACACAGAACTGTCAACACAAATCACACAATAAGCAATACAATGCTGGGGTCGGCTCCCATACAGCAAACACTAATCTGTATCATGTAGGTCCATAAAACACCCCTATTTTTAAATCCATACAAACACATACTCACATGCATCTGAACATATGCACATATATATATAAAGTTGTTACTTTCACAACTGCCTGGACTTTGCTCTTGCTCAAGAACTTGAGTTTTGCATGCACATCTGTTTTACAGATCTGGCTTATTTGTGTGCAGACTGTTGATTCCTTACCTTTCAAGAAAATGCACTCTGACTTCAAAGGGAAAAACCCTTCATTAGATACCTATTTATGACATGTTTGTTAGAGGAGCAGTGGATCTACCCACCCCCTTTTTTTTCTACACCCACCCACCACCCCCAGTGGTGGAAGACCACTGGTAATGCAGCATGTCAAATCAAACGTTTATATCTAATGACTTTATGAACGTCGATGTATCACCCATCCAGATCCACAATACAACGTGAGTGTCCGGAATGCCTGGAAACTTCATGATACCAGCAGTGATAAATGGTACTTGCTGGTTGCCAAGACAACGGTCATCAAACAGAGATGGCTGAAAGCTTTCCAAGATGAGAGACGGAGAGTTCAGGATGACCTAGAAAACAGTCAGTTGTTCATTTGTGTTTTCTGTTTCGTGTGACGTGGAAAATTGTCAGTTGTTCATGCGTGTTTTCTGTTTCGTGTGACATGGAAAATTGTCAGTCGTTCATGCGTGTTTTCTGTTTCGTGTGACATGGAAAATTGTCAGTTGTTCATTTGTGTTTTCTGTTTCGTGTGACGTGGAAAATTGTCAGTTGTTCATTTGTGTTTTCTGTTTCGTGTGACGTGGAAAATTGTCAGTCGTTCATTTGTGTTTTCTGTTTCGTGTGACGTGGAAAATTGTCAGTTCTTTATTTGTGTTTTCTGTTTCATGTGACATGGAAAATTGTCAGTTGTTCATTTGTGTTTTCTGCTTCGTGCGACATGAAAAAATTGTCAGCTGTTCATTTGTGTTTTCTGTTTTGTGAGACATGGAAAATTGTCAGTTGTTCATTTGTGTTTTCTGTTTTGTGTGACATGGATAATTTTCAGTTGTTCGTTTATGTTATCTGTTTTATGTGACATGGAAAATTGTCAGTTGTTCGTTTGTGTTTATTAGTTCATGTGACATGGAAAATAATCATTTGTTTGTTCATGTTTATTATAAAGCAGGACATGGAAAATAGTCACTTGTTAAATTTTTTTTTATTGTATGTTTTTATTACATTTAATACTGTCATTAGGTGGCAACAACGGCTGATATAAAAAATTAAAAGACATAAGAAGATGGCCATATGGTAGGCACATTCTGAGGAGAATTGAACAGAGAGTTGAGTTGAGTCAAGAATTGACATCACAGCACTCAGGGCATTCCCATATATGCTCCGTTCTCATCTTCAGCAGACAGCGCAGAGCTTCCCCAAGATGAGGGCACAGATAGATTGAGAAACCAAGGACGTCCAAATGATACCCTCCAGATGAACATTACTGAGAGGCCAAAGGTGCTGGACCTGATTTCCTCCATGATGAAGTAATTGCCTAGGAAAGACTGGAATGGAAGAATAAACTGCTAACACCATGTTATGTGACCCAGCCTTAAATGGGTACCAGATGAAGTCCTGGGAAGTGAAAGCAGGCAGCGTGATGTCGACTACATTGCCTCTCGAGGGCCACTTGGTCAGTATGTCTTTAGCCTCATGTGCCCGATGTGCCACTCGTGTGTAAAGGAGGCTTTACTTGACTTTACTACCTGTGTTATGAATTGAACATTTTTTTGGAAGCTGCAGAGATGTGGTTTTATAGACGGATGATGAGAATACCCTGGAAAAAAAAAAAGAGTAATGAGTATATCCTGAAAGAAGCTGATTCACGATAAGATCTGATTGCCAACATCAGAAAGAGACAATCTACTCTCTTTAGTCATGTGACGAGAAGGAGAAAAACTGGAGAACATTGTGACAGTAGGAAATTTGCAGGGGAGGAGAGGCAGAAGGAGACTGAGAGAAAAGATGCTGGACAGTTTGACGTCATGGCATGAAGGATCATCCGTGTCAGAGTGGATTGAAAGTGCACACAAGACTGAAGGTTGTGGATAGACATGACTACCAATGCCACACGACATGGAGGAAAGAAAAAGATAATGCAAAGTAACATGTTATGATGATCATAAGATGGTAGTCAAAATTAGTTTCAGCTTCATAGCAAAGCGGGTCAAGATCTTTGCTCCTCTCCTGTGCCAACGAAAAACACACAGAATGTTTATCACAGTATTAGAATTGCAGCTCAGACGGCTACAATACTCATTGAGGTAGCAGCACCTTCACCAGCTCAGACCAACAGATCAGCAGTTGCCCACGCGATCAGGATGGTGGATCACCTTCACCATACGGGCACCACAACACTGCACACTCAGGATGGTCGCAGCATTTTCTGAATTTAGAATTCACAACAACATGGAGGGTGACAGTCACCAAAAAAACTCATGGAGGATGGTGCAATCCGCACCAGCTCAGAGGGTCACTCATGGAGGATGGTCACTCAGAAGCTAGGGCGACGAAACTATATCCAGTCTACAAATGGAGCAAAAAATGGAGGATGGTGGCCACCGTCACCGCTCAGACGGCAAACAATTTGCCTGGTGGAGCACCGAACAGTGCTGCTAGCACTCATGGTCCATTTTGTATACCAGCTCAGACAACTAGTAACATGATGATGATGATGATCATAAAGTGGTAAGACAAAATCACAAACACTGAAATATTGGGAAGAGCAGGCACTACAAGATTGTTGTCACCTATCAATCTTCACCAGCTCAGACGGCTAGAACACTCATGGAGGATGGTGGAGCATCTTCACCAGCTCAGACGGCTAGAACACTCATGGAGGATGGTGGAGCACCTTCACCAGCTCAGACGGCTAGAACACTCATGGAGGATGGTGGAGCATCTTCACCATCTCAGACGGCTAGAACACTCATGGAGGATGGTGGAGCACCTTCACCAGCTCAGACGGCTAGAACACTCATGGAGGATGGTGGAGCACCTTCACCAGCTCAGACGACTAGAACACTCATGGAGGATGGTGGAGCACCTTCACCAGCTCAGACGGCTAGAACACTCATGGAGGATGGTGGAGCATCTTCACCAGCTCAGACGGCTAGAACACTCATGGAGGATGGTGGAGCATCTTCACCAGCTCAGACGGCTAGAACACTCATGGAGGATGGTGGAGCACCTTCACCAGCTCAGACGGCTAGAACACTCATGGAGGATGGTGGAGCACCTAAGAACATCCTCTATGGTTAATTATAAATGGATAGTGTAAGATCTCAGGGTCGGCTTCTACTTTGATATAAAGATGTGCAAGTGAGATATGAATGGTACAAGTATTGAAATTGATTGATTCATGGGAACAGGATGTAATAAACTATGTCACCTGGCGGGGAATATGGACAAAGGAAGGAAGATTGTACTTAAGTTAAAAACTGATTGTCTGAGAAGAACCTGTCAAATACGTGTGGTGACAACAGTGGTCCTGAAATCTCATGCACTTATTCAGGAAGACTTTTCTTAATATAAGCTGATCTTATTAGTTAGAGTTGCCTTTCTCATGGGCTGTGAGTCTCATGTCTCCTTGTGACACAATATTTCACTGTTGTCTGGACAAACAAAATGTTGCCAAAGATTTATAATAATTAATTGTTCTTTTCAGTTCATTTTTTTTTTAAAAACCATTTCATTATCACTTTCAGTTAGTGTTTTTATTGCATACTTGTTTTTATTCATCATTTGATGATTTTTATGAAATTATTTGTACCACGTATATTTTGTTATCAGTTTATATTTTGCAGTAGAGTAATTCACTAATCTAGCCCCCCAAACCCCCCCCCCCCACACACACACACACACACACACACACACACACACACACACGAGAGAGAGAGAGAGAGAGAGAGAGAGAGAGAGAGAGAGAGAGAGAGAGGTTAACTTTTAAAGTTACCAAATAGAAAATGACAGATTGTTTTTATTTGTTGCTTTACTTCCTGTCACAGATTTCAACATTCCCAATCACGTCAAGCAGGCAGTGATTTCAAACTTCAAGCAGAAAGCCAACCTCAGCAAGCCTAAAGGTATTGTATGCCCTTGACTTTGTTAACTTTGATAACATTTAGACTTTTTTAAACTTTGATAACATTTGTAACAAAAAAAGAGAAAGCTGGGAGGGCTAACCTGGGTAAACCATGCCCAAAGAAGTTGAATGTTTCAGCTGAAAGACCCAGATATCGCAGATATGCTGTAAACTTGCATGAAGCAGTTACATCACTTGGATGAATGAAGAATACCAGAAGTGGAATTAATACTGTATATTTTATTACCCAAGCATAGAGCAAATAACACACACATCAGACTGTAAAGCCGTGTCTAGAATAAAGTAAGTCTAGAATAAAGTAAATGTGAAAAAAGAATCAGTGTACATCATGGCTATTCAACTGGCAGCCCACGGGCCAAATCTGGCTTGAGGTTTAAACAACGGATTAACATCATGGCACATGGTTAGTAACCAAAAGTGCTCCGTTCTTCTTCTAACTCAAGTCTGAGTCCGAAGAAGATCAGCATAGTGCACCGGCTCCGTAGCACCGGCGAGGATCCTGAAATACTTTGGGTAGATTTTAATAATCTGGCCTCTGAAGGCCTAGCAGGCGACCTGCGAATCACCTGCCACTTGTATTGTATTAATCATCTTTCTTTGTTGGGGCTCAGGCCTCTCCATATTCCAACATTTCGGCCCTGAATAAACTTAATTGAATGGCCCTGGTGTACTTGTTTACCCATCTTGATGTCTGTGTGTAGTTGTGTTAGTTATGTTGAGCTGTCACCTTTGATTTTGTTGTTTGTTGTTTCTGTGGTTCTGAGCTAATTCTTTTCCTGATAAGATTAGTGTTACTGTGTTTCATTATGTTGTGAATAAGCTTGAGATATATATATTTATTAAACCCATGATTTCATGAGCAAATAAACAGGGAATGGTAATTGTAATAAACAGGAAATTGATGTTTGTAATTAACAGAGAATTGGCATTTGTAATAAACAGGGAATTGATGTTTGTAATTAACAGGGAATTGGCATTTGTAATAAACAGGGAATTGATGTTTGTAATTAACAGGGAATTGATGTTTGTAATTAACAGGGAATTGATGTTTGTAATAAACAGGGAATTGATGTTTGTAATTAACAGGGAATTGATGTTTGTAATTAACAGGGAATTGATGTTTGTAATTAACAGGGAATTGGCATTTGTAATAAACAGGGAATTGATGTTTGTAATAAACAGGGAATTGATGTTTGTAATAAACAGGGAATTGGCATTTGTAATAAACAGGGAATTGATGTTTGTAATAAACAGGGAATTGATGTTTGTAATAAACAGGGAATTGATGTTTGTAATAAACAGGGAATTGGCATTTGTAATAAACAGGGAATTGATGTTTGTAATTAACAGGGAATTGATGTTTGTAATTAACAGGGAATTGATGTTTGTAATAAACAGGGAATTGATGTTTGTAATAAACAGGGAATTGATGTTTGTAATTAACAGGGAATTGATGTTTGTAATAAACAGGGAATTGATGTTTGTAATAAACAGGGAATTGATGTTTGTAATAAACAGGGAATTGATGTTTGTAATAAACAGGGAATTGATGTTTGTAATTAACAGGGAATTGATGTTTGTAATAAACAGGGAATTGATGTTTGTAATAAACAGGGAATTGATGTTTGTAATTAACAGGGAATTGATGTTTGTAATAAACAGGGAATTTGTGTTTGTTAACCATCACATAAAAGAATCATCTGTAAGGTGAATGGATTTTTTTCTGTCAGTTAAACAAATAATATTCCTAATCTTTCTTAGACAACTGTTCTTAATCTCTTGATTTTTATTCTCCCACTTGTATCATTGTCTTCCGTATGCTGCCTTACCTGCAGCTTTCCCTTCAGTATAATTTTTCATCAGGCTTTATTATGACGTGGTTTTTAAAAAAAAAGTGTGTATTTATTCCTTTTTGTCTAACACTGCCATAAAAATCTGGTGAATCCAAGCAGTAAAGATTGTTACAGTATCTTCATTTAAAATCGAGTAGATTTCATTTCCCGTAGAAGCATATGGTTCTGACATCTAAAAAAAGATCTGAACGACTTCTTCTTCTTCAGCATTCCGAGCCCTTGAGGCTCATTACTGCAGATATCACCCGCAGCCACTTATCTCTCTGACTGGCCTTATCTTTCCAGTTGGCGACACCAAGTGTTTGTAGGTCGGTCTGGACGTTGTAGGTCTATCTGGACGTTATCTCTCCATCGTCTTCTTGGTCTACAACCATTCAGCTCCCTTGTCTATACATTTTGTTCTTTTCTGTCATTTGACATTCTCTCAATATGCCCAAGCCATTTCATTCTATAAGATCTCATGATGCCAGTAAAAATTAAAAAGATCTGAACATCAAGGACAATTTTAAACTGCAATTCTTTGGCCATATCATATGCAAGGGTAATTTGAAAAGAACAGCAGTGGAAGGTATGGTACCGGGAAGAAGGGGCAGAGGTTGACTGGCACAAAGATGGACACAGGTCATAAGGGACATCATGGACAGGAAAATCCATGAGGCAGGAAAGCTGGCAAGAGGCCGAGTTTCTTTTAATCACCTTTTTTTTTATTCCCAGCCTTTCTTCTTCTGTGTTCACCCGAAAAGGATGGTTGTGGCATTGTGGTTTACAGCTAGGCTGGGATATCTTCTGCTCCTTTCAACCCAGCACATCCAGTTTCACCAAACTGTAGTCAGTCACCTTTACAGCATATTTGTTAAAGGGCAGTGGATCTGTTCTGCCCCATTCCCCCAGAGAGACCCAGGAACCCATAGAGGGACCCAGTCTTTGTATAAAAAAAACCTGTCTGATTGCTTTTTCCACCTAAAAAGTGTTAGGCTGGCAGGTGCAGATATCTCAGCCTAGCTTTAAACAACAACATAACATGCCAACTGCCCTTTTAACTCTTTCAGTCCTCGGGGGTTTAGCATCAGAGGCCCAAGGGAAGGTCAAGAGTGATGTAAAATCATTACATCTTGCCTTAATTGGGTTTATAGGTACAAATCTAAGAAATATATATAATATTTGACTGAAAGCGTTAAGGATGAACACAAAAGATAAAAGATTGCTTCTGGTGAGACATGTTTATATTTTATATAATTAACGTTTCAGGAATTTTACTTTGGCTGACTCGAAAATCTGACAGGTGAAGTTTTGCATTTACAGAAGTGTAAACAAACAAGAAACAAAACAAAACCACATTAACAAAATACTAAACATTTGGGTGGATTGTTTAGGTTCATGTTAATCTGTAGAATTAACTAAATAGTTTTAACTAAACTAATTCTGTTTAGCCTAGAGATTAGTTGGTGTTCTGCTAAACATATTTTTGTATTTGTCCTTTATTTTGTTGGAGAGATTGGTGACCACTTCTGTACTTTTGGCATGTGGTTACTAATTTTCTATGTGGAATAGTTTGGCTTTTTTTTGGGCATATATCTTTATATATCCTGAACTTGTTCTGTCATTTTTTTTTAATTTATGCCTTGTCATTTTTGTGGCATTGATCACCTGAAGAACTACTTTATTATTTTTAACTTATTGGTGACAGATTTTACATTAATAATATCATTACTAAATGTACTGTTTAATTTATTGACTGCCATTGAAAATAAAAATACTGTGAAAAAAAGAAAAGAAAAAAAGCACAAATTGTGTGGAAAAGACATCTTTTTCGGTCTTCCAAGCCTTTGAGGTTCTTTGCTGCAAATATCAATTCGGTCACGTTTTTCTTTATACGGAATGGGTCGCGTCGATACAGAGGTCACAACTGAGTCACAGGGATACCTTGTCCAAGTCATGTAGACGTTTTTGAGAATCAGCAGGCAGATAGGTTTGCTGGACTGGCCTCACTTACAGGTGTTCTGCAGATGTGATCTCTTATCTGTGGACAAGTAAAATGATTTTGAAAACCTGTACCTGGAGATAATGATACAGCAGGAAGTGTCTGCAGGCTCTTGGTGCCACTCGAGACTCAAGGATAGGCAAGTGAAAAAAAAAAGATCCCTTTTCAAGCTTTTAGGCGCATCGGGCATATGGGAAGAGCACCCATATTTTTACAGACCAATCGGCACTCGGTGTGTAATGTGGTCAGCGTTACACGGCCGTCTCTACTTCCACAGGACAGCCATTCTGGTACCCATTTGAGGCTGGGTTCGACCTGCGACGTCCCATACCAGGATAAAAATCCACGCAGCCCGCAGTGGGTTTCGATCGATGTACGTTGGATTACAAGTCAGACTCGCAACACCTTAGCCACGGATGCCGCTAAAAATAGGCAAGACGAGTAGTTAACCAGATGACGAAACTCTTTGCTGGCTGTTGAGGAAGAAGACAGAGCTAATATGTGCTTGTCCTGAATGCTGTGATGTGGAATCTTTACCCAGGTGAAAAAAGGGCATCTAACACTTACTGCTATCTCTTTTCATCAGTTGTGTCAGCTAGATCTGCTGGTTGCTTCCATTTCATCATTTTCTTCAGACGATGATCTATTCACATGCAGATTATGTAGAACGGAGCTTTATGATAAATCTTGGGCCCATCAAAGATTCAAACAGCAAAGAACTAGAAAGTGAGAAGCGGCCCTGAAATTCAAAATATGTTTCAGTCGCCACTAATTAATGGCATCATGGGGTCTAATAGACAGCATTGGTTGATACATAAAGAGAGGATCGCAGATAACGGAGAGATACAGATAAAAAAGAGATTAAATGGTAGCAGGCACGAGGCAGACCAAGAACATGGTGAAGAGATGTAGGCAGACCAAGAACATGGTGGAGAGATGTAGGCAGACCAAGAAGATGGTGGAGAGATGTAGGCAGACCAAGAACATGGTGGAGAGATGTAGGCAGACCAAGAACATGGTGGAGAGATGTAGGCAGACCAAGAACATGGTGAAGAGATGTAGGCAGACCAAGAACATGGTGGAGAGATGTAGGCAGACCAAGAACATGGTGGAAAGATGTAGGCAGACCAAGAACATGGTGGAGAG